CAGGAAGCAATCTGCATGTTGGAAAGTTTCCCCCTGCTCTTTTCAGAGTAAAAACTGCACATTTTTCTAGTCCATTGAAATCCTGCAATGCGGCATAGAGATGCTGAAGGTGATCATCCCCCATGGTTGGTTTTATGCCCTCCAGCTAGCCTTTCCCCTTGGAGTCGCAGGCAGTGCCAGTCCTGCTCTCCACTGCCGAGCTACAGTGCTGCAGTCAGTCCTGTGTTAATGCCAATTATTGAAAGTCCCACTCCAGGGTATGGTGGTATTGCTCCTTAGGGAGACTGCACATTAGCTTCTGGCACTGTAAGTATGACCAGCCTAAAGACTAGTGATCGACAAGACATCCTTGACTTCCATGTGGCTGGTGTCAGACTGATGGAGCCATCCCCGAAGCCATGACTGAGGTTCTTCTGGTAGCGGGAGGCAGAAGCAGAAAGGTGGCTCTCCCTTGTGTCCTGTTGGTAGGACAATCTCGTCCCCCTGGATGTGGTTTGCAGGAGCAGTAGTTGTCTGACCTGCCATGATAGAGGTTGGTAATCCAGACACAGACTTGGGGAAATAGAAGTTAACTCCAGTTTCATACAAATGCATGCAGAGGGATGTTGGAACCATTGTTGCAAGGACATCTACGAGTTAAAAATCTGTATGATGTGGTGTATCTTAGGCTGAGCTAAATCAGCCCCATGAAACTGGAGGCAGAAGTTCTTGGACGTATTTTTCTCCACAGAGTGTGTGTTATGTTGGTGCTCCATTGGGCCAGATTGCCAGTCACACTAAGGAAATAGAAAATTACACTTCAAAAAATCCTGCAGTTTTGTAAACTCAATAGTTGTAGGGGGGATAATTAATCAGTGGGTTGTGTAGGACTACTACTTGCTAGATTTCATTTTAAACTAGAGTTTGGGATATCAGTACGGGGTTTATCTGCATTTCTACTGGCTTCGGTGTTCTCTCTCATGTTTGACATTGTTACTGTGCGCATGAAGTGCTTAGTGCACGCTCATATGTTTCAAGCACATGATGAAAATCTAAAGTATGCAAGAAATACTTGGACATTTTCAGTCATGGTTGTGAAATATTACAGGTCCCACAAATTCTCTAGAGCAACACTGAATATGTTACAGTAAGGACCCTTAAATTAGCTCAAGTGGAGTCCCTCTGCACACCCCTGCTTTGTATGCACAGCACATGCACATGTTTTTAGATGTATCTGTAGCTGCAAGATCTGAAAGCATTGGGCCAGTGTCTTTCATGAGAAAGGATTAGTTTGATTTAATGTAAATCCTTAACAGGGTGATTTCGTGTCTTGTATTTTGGAAGGAATAATCTTAAGAAATCCAATTACTATCTTGCACTTCAGTGCATTGAGCAAGAAAATAATTGTATTGCATTAATTAATACTCATCTGCTGCTAGAAGTGGTAATCTGTAGTAAGCAGAGAGCTGTATTTGAAAAGTTTAAGACAAGCCTGATTTGCTTGTGAAGGTTGTAACGTGAAGCAAAAGTGAACTCTAAATTCAGGTACAATACTTTGTTGCTTAAATGTGGTAGCCAAATGTTAATGCTGTTTTTTGCCTGTGTGCCAAGGAGAATGCTTTACTAAAAAAATCCGATTGAAAACCATCACCTCCCAAAATTTCAGTGACAAATCCCCACTGTGTTTGCAGAACCCAATTGAAGTGACCCATCTAAACTTGTTCCAGTCTGTTTCCTTTGTCACGCATATGCAGTCCTACATGCAGTTCTGTAGGCTGAATTAGTGGTATTGGTGGTCATGTTTAGGATTTTTCAAAGACTTATCCATCTGTACCATTTTCCTATGGGTAATTGCTGGTGTGTGATTTGTCAGTGGAATCGCAAAGGTTGAGCTGGAAGAGATTTGCAAAAATTTCTGTTTAAGCCATATGCAGGTTTGAGTTCATCCTTCATCTTCCCTTATTGCTTGAAACACACAAAAGCAAAATGATGCCGCTTATTTCTTACCTGCAGTTGTTACTGTTTTCCGTCAGTTTCTTGTTCCAGGAATACTACAAAATACTGTATGATTTGGAATAATTAAAGCTAACCAGGCATTCCGTCTAATGAGACTGCACAGTATAGAAATCTGGCAATCCAGCAGTGACAGTACTTGTCAAATCCAGTTGCTATATTAGCATTGCTTACTATAGTTAAAGTGCACTCATAGCTAGTGCGTAGGCTTGATAGGCCTTCCTGCCAAGTAATCCCAACTGAGCCTTGGATTCATTTGGGCTCCGCTTGGGCTCTCATTTGGTTACAAAGGCAGGCGGAGGTCTTGGCACTGCAATACCTATGTGCAGGGATGTTTCTCTGCTTGATTCTGGTAAAGCTTCATTTAAAACTAATTGAATAAAATCTGATCCTAAATTATCAGCTTTTTTAAAAATTGCTTTTGTCTTGTTTTTTGAAAGAAGATAAAGTTGCATTCCTTGTGTTTCTGAGCCGCACTACGTCTTCAGGATGAAATCTTTTATAGGCTGTGGGTTAGAATAAATTTTAGGGAGCACAGACAGTTTTCAGCTTTCTTATTTTTCACTTCTCCCTCCTGTCTGCTTTTATTCCACCCTTCCTGCATTGTTTTAACTCTGAGACGATTAATGGTATAAGTTGCTGTCAGCCCTCTTGCTTTGAAAACCTTCTCTGGGGACTAGGTGTGCACTAACCTTTACATGAAAAACTTTTGAATTCCAGAGTGAGATTGTATTTCTGACCATTAGGTTTGTGTTTTAGCAATAAATCATTTGCCTACTTAGACTGAGCCTATGATTGAACTTTAACAGTGTGAAGGTTACAATTTGAAAAGGATAACTAATAACCTTCATAATTCATTCCTGTAACGTATACAGACTAATTCATAAAATTATTTTCTAACCTAACACAGTTTGGAGACAATACTTACACTGTTTAACTGCTGGAAAGCTTCTTTGTGCAAGACACCAACTCATTTGTTTTTTAGAAAAGCTAAATTTTGTTTCCCCCAATTACTGTTTTGATATTAGACCATTGCAGTTTTACTGGACTAAATATTTTTTCATATAAATTGTGGCATTCCTAAGAGTGGATTAATAACATGGTGTTACTTTTCAGCTGTGAACAGCAGAGTGCCCAGTGGCTCCACCAGCTCCTCGCACACTACTGAATCCCCTACACCTGAGCCTGGTTCACAGGCATCGAGCAATGTGTCCTCACAGTCAGTGCTCCCTATGTATCCCTCAGTTGACATCGATGCACATGTGAGTAACTGCAGTTGATTTTGAGTGGATTTGGTTTCTGATAAGTTCTGAAACGAAGAGATTTAATCTAGTACTGTCTTAAAAATGTGAAAGTTCTTTTAAAGTATCTTTGATTTCTGAATATCTGTTTCTTTTTCTTCCCAACCATGAAGACTGAAAGTAATCATGACACTGCTCTGACCCTGGCGTGTGCAGGAGGTCATGAAGAACTTGTATCTGTACTGATAGCACGTGGTGCCAATATTGAACACAGAGACAAGAAGGGTAAGCTAAAAAAAACCCAGTAAACCATTTTGATCATGATTTGAACAGCAAATTTCAAACTGAGATTTGGGATTCTTTGCTTCCAAAAATTACCAAAGCTGCAAAAATGTAGAATTGCATTTGTGCACTTCATGTAGAAATATTTGCCACATAAAGCTAGTAATGTTGCATGCATTTCTTTCTGTATTTTTGAAAGGAAGTGCATCTCAGTGGTATCTTAAGCAGATCTGCAAAATGTGGAGCACTTTTGTAGACAGTGAATCATGGGGACAAAAGACCTTAGCATACTAGATAGAGCGGCTAGTGGGGATAAATATGAAATCATAGCTGACAAAGCTAATGGGGAGTAGTTGTCAGCTTGTGTATCACATTTTTCCCATTAACGAAGTTCGGCAAAATCTCAAATCTTCTGGAGCTGAGAGAATAAAACCACCATGCCTCTCTCCTTGGAACTCACATTGACCCCTGGAAATAAGCGACAAATGCAATGCAGATCATAGAATCATAGGTTGGAAAAGATCATTGAGTCCAACCATCCGCCCAACAACACCATTCCTACTAAACCATATCCCAAAGTGCTACATTCACATGTGTTCTAAGCACCTCCAGGGATGGGGACTCAACCACCTCCCTGGGCAGCCTGTTCCAATGCCTGACCATTCTTTAAGTAAAGAAATTTTTCGTAATATCCAATCTAAACCTCACCTGATGCAACTTGAGGCCATTTCCTCCTGTCCTATTGCTGGTTACCTGGGAGAAGAGACCACCAACACCTGCCTTGCTACAACCTCCTTTCAGGTAGTTGTAGAGAGCAATAAGGTCCCCATTCAGCCTCCTCTTCTCCAAACTAAACAGCCCCGGTTCCTTCAGTCACTAATCTTAAGACTTGTTCTCTAGACCCTTCACCAGTCTTGTGCCCTTCTCTGGACACGCTCCAGCCCCTCAATGTCTTTCTTGTAGTGAGGGGCCTAAAACCGAACACAGTACTCATGGTGTGGCCTCACCAGTGCCGAGTACGGGGGTACGATCCCCTCCCTGCTCCTGCTGGTCACACTGTTCCTTATACAAGCCAGGAAGCCGTTGGCCTTCTTGGCCACCTGGGCACACCGCTGGCTCATGTTCAGCTGGCTGTTAACCAACACCGCAAGGTCCTTTTCTGCCAGGCAGCTTTCCAGCCACTCCTCCCCAAGCCTAGCATTGTGTGGGGTTGTTGTGACCAAAGTGCAGGACCCAGCATGTTCACTTGTTGGAGCTTTATTATATAGGAATGAAGTGGAAAGCTTTGACTTCTCTAAAGAGAGGAGGTGATTAGAACTTAATCCAAACTGATCAGTGCAAGTACTATGTAGATTTCATTTGAAGAGCCTTTCATTATATTTGGCTGGAATCAGAGCCTAGATGTGTCAGAGTCAGAAGAGAGCTAGGACAGGGTCTGAGATTGTAGCCTATACCAGGAAACTGCCAGTCTGAGGAAGACATGTCCGATTAATAGCAGGCATTGTGAATTAACCCTTTTGCATTTCTGCTCCTTAGTAATACTTTGGAGATTCTCAAGGTTGCTTTTAACATGAGCTCTTGTTACTAGGTTTTACGCCTTTGATTCTGGCTGCAACTGCTGGACATGTTGGTGTAGTGGAAATTCTTCTAGACAAAGGTGGGGATATAGAAGCACAGTCTGAGCGCACAAAGGATACTCCGCTTTCGCTGGCATGCTCTGGTGGTCGCCAAGAGGTACAGACGTGTTTGTCCTCAGTGGGTTTGAACTGTTTTTTGTAGATAGTTTTTTGTACAGTGTGGGTTTTTTTTTGTTTTGTTGATGATATAATGAATCATCCTTTTTCTGGAAGGTTTTTAACCTGTTGAAGTGTAGCTAGTTTAAGTCTCTTTCTTCAAGAGGAAAGGGAATTTATGCTTTTCTTCGTTGGCTATCCCAACGAAGTAATAGGTGTTACAACTGTTGATGTATCCTTGCAAGAGAAGTACTTTTGTGAAGGAGGTAGAGATGTTTAGTAAATACCTTTATTCACTGAACACTTTCCTTATGCATCCTTCTCGCTCTCAAAACTATAACAGCCAGTGCAGGCACACGAGAACAGAAACTGAGTTTTTGTGTTGGCAGTACATGGTTTTAGTGGTGATGTGCAGGGCTGATAGGTGCAGGAGCAATGCAGGGCACATTATACGAGTCTTTTAAGGATGTTTGTTTTAGCTTTTTTTTTTGTCCAAATAAGATTTGTTAAATTTCTTCATACTTTAGTCATGAGCATACTAGCTTAGAGGATGGCATGGAGATGGCAAAGGGCTCTGTGCCAGATGCGGGAATGGTAAGTTTTGGAACTTAATAAGGATTGAAACAGTTGGCCAGAAATGGAAAGTTTACGCTTTGGCTTTTGAATTGCAGTTCTTTAGCAGTAAAAGTGCTGCTCACAAATAAAAGGAGAGATCAATGTGGAGATCAATGTGGCCTGTGATAGCATTGCTTACTCAACTGCTTAAGTCTTTTGTTCTTACTCTTAATTTTTTTACTTTATGCCAGAATCTACCTCTTATGTTTCTGGTTTAGCAACTTCTGAGGCAGCCTTTTTTGCTGGCTTTCTTGAAAATCACCTAGCCTATGTTAGCAGTAAAATGAGGCCCATGAAAGTGCAGTAAGTCACCAGAAATGTTTTAGTTTTTCCCTCTTTCATTTCTTTTAAGCAGCTTCTGATAGAGGAGAGACATCCTTCCTCACACTTGTTCCATTAACATCAGTCAGTCTGAATTTTACCGTGTATTTTGTTGGAAAGACCGTATAATACAGATGGTCAAACTTGGCTGAAGTGTCATTTGAGTTAAAGTTGTGGGAGTTTCTGAAAGAAGGCACACAAACAGTGTGAGACATTGTGGGAGTGGGATGGATCCCTTGTTTGCGAACTTAAGATTCACAGGAAGAGCTTCACTTTTAAAGCCTTGCATTTTTGATTAGGTAGAATAATCTTTCTGGAAGACAAGTGCTGCAGTGCTACAAGCCATGCAGATTAGCTGATGTATTCATCAGTTGCTAAGTCTGTACAGCGCATGTGTAAAAGTAAAGAGGATAAAGGTTTTCCTGTAGAAACATATCTATTGACATTGGAAACTGGTAGCATACTGGAAGGTTTGAACATGTGGTAACATCCTTTCACTTTGCGGATAATAGCGAAGGCCACAATATGTCTTTTAAGACACATACTCTCTTTTCAGGTTGTTGATTTGCTGTTGGCCCGAGGAGCAAATAAAGAACATAGGAATGTGTCTGATTATACACCATTAAGCCTTGCTGCATCTGGTGGCTATGTTAATATCATCAAGATTCTTCTTAATGCTGGGGCAGAAATTAATTCAAGGTAATGTACTATGTACTTCGTCCTCACCAGATGAACTGCAGTATAGCACAGACAATCCATTGTTGGCTACGTACTGAGGCATAGGTTGGAATATCTAGTGTTTTCAGACCTCCTTACAGCCTTTCTATGCTGATGTCCTTTATGTTCATGTTATCTTAGTGCTTTTAAATTGCCTTTTACTATCACAAACTTCCATCTTCCTTATACCTAAATTTTAAGGGATTGTTTTAGTTTGCATACCTGTTCCTTCCCTTTCCCTTTTCCACCATTCTGGGATCTAGAAGTCTAGAAGTCTACTTCCAGTAGAACCAGGTAAAGGAACCAGCCAGAGCACTCAAGGCGGCTCTATTTGTTTGTTTGAAGATGTCTTTTTCAGTAAGAGGAAGAAATTTACACAGCTATGTCTCTCAAGCCTCCTCTTTATTAATTTTAGGAAAACTTACATACACTTTATCACTACAGAAAGTTAAAACTGCAGCTGTGCTAGAAGCATGTGTTTTTTTCTGAAAGAAAAGGATGCAGGCTTAATTCTTAGTATGTGTAGTTTAAGGCTTATGTGTGATTCAGCCATCTGAATGTCTCAAAGTTGAAATGTATCTTCCTTGATTATAATTGCAGATGTATGTTGCATGTAGTTATTCTGATGGTTTCTCCTGATCAATTTTAAAATGCTACTATTTTAGGTCACTGTCTGTATTTCTGTATGTTATATGTTCCTTTCTGGCTTGCAACAGAGCATTTTGTTCCTCTTAGATACATCCCTGTGGGATGGGAACTGCAGTTTATTTCTTTCCCTTTAGGACCGGGAGTAAGCTAGGTATTTCTCCTCTGATGTTGGCTGCTATGAATGGCCATGTACCTGCTGTGAAACTGTTACTTGATATGGGTTCTGATATTAATGCCCAAATTGAGACCAACCGGAATACAGCCCTCACCCTGGCCTGTTTCCAAGGCCGAGCAGAGGTGGTCAGTCTGCTTTTGGACAGGAAGGCCAATGTTGAGCACAGGGCAAAGGTAAGTGTGCGAATCACTTTTCCTTATGACTTATTTCCAACAGGTGATTTTTCTGAGTCATCAAGTTTCTTCAAATTTTCCTGTTATTTTGAGCCTCTCTGGGCTCAGAGGACTTATTTAATCAGAGGACTTATTCAATATTCTGAAATAAGTTTGTTTTTTTTTTTTTTTAAATAAAGGAAGCATCAATGATGATGAACTTTTTCAGTAGGGAAAAGCTGACTGGTCCTTCTGAGTTCATAATGAAACTTAGATTGGCGCCTGTTCTGTAGTACTGAGAAACTTTTCAGGTTTAAGCTTGACATGATACCCGTTAACAGAACAGATAGATACATGTATTTTTACATATGAGTAAAGTCTAGGCAGGAAAAGAATCGTGTTGCTTATGGTGATTCTCCTATAGAACAGATTTCTAGTCTACAACAGAAGGTAGTGCAGTCAAACTTTGTAAAGCTTTTACATTGCTGTAGAACCCGTGGCTTCAGTACTGTGACTTTCTGTGCCTCTGAAATGCTCCACAGGTCCCATCCTTTGGTACTCTGGGACAGCTTTGTGTCTCCTGCCATAAGGCAAGCTTAAAGCTTGTGTAGACAGCCAGACTGATTTCCCCAGCACAAAGGAATTTTTGGTAACTCCTAAGGCTGCTGAAATAATTGCTGTGTCTGTCTACCCCGCCTGCTTCTGGAGTGACTGTGGCTGGAGAAAAGGGGATATGGATAAAAGCCAGCTCTCAAATGGTCAGTTGGGCATGTTAGCAGCTGGTATAAGTTTGTTTAACGGTCTAGCCTGGCAATTAAGTTGGGCCCAGATCAGTCTCAGCACTTAAGGGAGACTAGTGAAAAGCTATAAAGCCAGCATTTTTGTAGAAACACTATTGTCTTTATTTGGATCTGCTCTAACCTCAGTTTTAGAGATCCAGCACAACTTTCTTTGTGCTGTTGAAACAGGTATCTGGTGGTACTTAGTCAACAGCTTGCCCAAATTTGTGTAAATCAAAGCCCAAAAGTATTTGTTTTTTGGGGTTTTTTGTTTGTTTTGTTTGGGTTTTGGTTTGTTTGGGGTTTTTTTTTGAGAAAGAGACTGTTTGAAGTTAGGCTCCTTAACTAAATATAAGCAGCTAAATAAAAAAAAAAAAATCTGATTTCCCTGTGTAGAAATCCTTTATGTCTTATCCAAAGTAAGTTGTACAAATTTCACACTGTGTAACTCATTCTCTTTGCGCAGACTGGTCTCACACCTCTGATGGAAGCGGCTTCAGGAGGATATGCAGAGGTTGGAAGGGTTCTGCTTGATAAAGGAGCGGATGTTAATGCTCCACCTGTGCCTTCCTCAAGAGATACAGCTTTAACAATTGCAGCAGATAAGGGTCACTACAAGTTCTGTGAGCTCCTGATTAATCGGTAAATTATTTCTTCTCCTTAGCAACATGTTTGTTCTGTAGCTGTAGTAGTCTGTGGCAAGGGTGCCCTTGTTTACATGGTCTCTTGCATCTGAGAGCAAAGTGGATGGGAAGCTTTGGAAGTAGGATGTTTCATCTGTTCCCTACTCTCCGGTGTTATCCTAGAGTATCCTGCTACTCTGATGTTAATTGAGCTAAGCAGGCAGCTGGGACCGGAGGTAAGCAAACAGTGTCTGGATTGGCAGCGATGTTGGCTGTGTGTTAATCCAGCAATTCCCATGTGAGCATTTCCCTGCTGTCACTTGGGGGGCAGTGACTGAACTGTTCAAACATAACCCATATGCGCTGCTAAAATCTCAAGAGACTGCTTTGTCCTGTGGGTAGTTACCACATTAATGATAATTTAAAGGACCCATGGTTGCTAGTTGCATAGCTGTGGTGCAGGTGCAGTTGGCTACATTAGATGGGTGTTCATTTCTGTAAGGGAGGTTTAAATAATCCCTGTGTCACTGTGTTGCAACTTGGACAGAATTTCTCTACCTAGCTACTAGATTTCAGTAATTAAATCTATATATCCAATTGTACTCTGATTTTTTTGTGATCTTACTTCCTGATTTCCACCTTTACTCATACCTTATTTCACTCAATTACACTTGTACTTTTTTAGAGGAGCGCATATTGATGTTCGTAACAAGAAAGGAAACACACCTCTATGGTTAGCAGCTAATGGTGGTCACTATGATGTGGTTCAGTTGCTTGTGCAAGCAGGTGCAGATGTAGATGCTGCAGATAATCGGAAAATTACACCTCTTATGTCAGCGTTTCGCAAGGTAGGAGACCAACTTAATTTTATGTTTCAATGCTAAATGTTTTCAAAACACAGTTTCTCATTTGGTCTTAAATTTGAATGCTTGGTTTTAGAAGAAACAAATACAACACATCAAAATTATGATTTTGATAATGCCTGCTTTAAAGTAATCATAATCTGTGTACTTCACTCAGAACTAATTTTTGAGAGGTGAAAAAATCTGTTCCGTAAACCATGTTAAGTTTATTATTTCCAGTTGTATACTGTTCAAAAACATTCACTGTTTGAGATTTCAGTGTTTTGAGATTACCATAGTCTCTTCTAAATTTCTGTAGATTACAATGCTTGTTTCAATCTTGCTTTTGAGACTAACAAAATACCAGTGTGTATTATACCATTGTCCTGCTTCCTTTGTGCTGCTTCTGTTATGTTCCTAATTTGTTGTTGAGTGGGACGCTTTGTGTAGTTGGCTATTTTGTCATCTTGGCAGGAAGAACGTTGCTTTGTGATGGTTTCATCAGTATTGTTGGATGGAAGGGGCAGCATATGGCAGAGGAATTTATTATCTATAGCTGCTTTGCCTTTAACAAAGTATCAAATAAATGTACAGCTTATTTTGACAAACAGCAATACTGACCGTGATCCCTCTGTTGCTTTCAAATAACTTCAGAGGCAACAGTTAGATTCTTTCTCTGTGGTTGCACAGTGTACCCCATCAATGAGTGGATCCAGCAGCAGAGGAATGTGTTTACCAGGATAATATTCAGGTGGCTTAGTTCCCTGACCAGATTTGCCTTGCAATTGAATAATCTGTTAGCTCTGTGGCATGAGTGGCAAGAGCATGGGTTGGGGTGACAGGTGGGGTCTAAAGAGGGTCATCTTGGCTGTTACTGAAACATGAACAGCTGTCTCTGTGCTTGGGTTTGGTTTGGTTCTTGTGTTTTAAAAAAAAAAAATTACTTGTGGGAGAGCTTGTTTTTGCCACCATGATGTAGAACAGCAGAGATGCTGTCAGCACCAGACAAACACCTTTCTTCTCAAACAGCAGCTTACCAGAAATGTGCTTGCTTATTTTTAATCTTGTGTCGGAATAAGAGATACCAAACTTGTAGTTTATGATGAATGTTGACAGTTGTATATATGGGATTAGAATTTTCTTTGCTATTTTAGGGGCATGTGAAAGTAGTTCAGTTCCTGGTGAAAGAAGTTAACCAGTTTCCTTCGGACATTGAATGCATGCGATACATAGCAACAATAACTGACAAGGTGAGTTTAACTTAAGAAAAAGATCTTATCCCTTATTTTCAGCAAAAATATATGTGAGATTCTTGAGTATTTGAAAACTGAATGTACGTTTGTTCGTGTACATTTGATTTGAGGGTTAGTGCATGTTTCCTTTTTAATACAGAACTTAATAAAATCAGTGTTTAGAGTCCTGTTGAAATAGTTTGTATGTTTATGAATACGGGGAAGCTAATCTCATGTTTGTAGAGCAAGCCTCATTTCTCAGTTTTAGTTTATTATGGAGGTAGTAAGACAAGTTTGCATTTCAGGACCTGTTGAAGAAGTGTCACCAGTGTGTGGAGACAATTGTGAAAGCTAAAGACCAGCAGGCTGCAGAAGCAAATAAGAATGCAACTATATTGCTGAAGGAGCTAGACTTGGAAAAAGTGAGTAGGGAATTGCTGGCATGTACCATAACGGTTTGAACTATGTATGGTGCTTCTTTGGGCAGTAGTTCTTTGTGCTGTGACTGTGCCTTCCTTCCTCTAATATACAAAAAGTGAAATGTACACTGAGGGTGGCAAATTAGAACTGACTTCTGCCTCAGCCACTCCATTGTCCTTTTTAGGAAAGCTTAGAATTCACAGTATTTACCTTTGGTAGAAGCTCTCTTGCATTACTTCAGTGCAGATGATGTGTGAATAAGGGAGGGCTTCAGTCTTGGTGGTGTGATAAATGATATGTTATATATTGTGTAAGACATGTCTGTAAGCATTTTATGGGCATCTATGCAGTGTTACAAAGGAGAGCTTACAAGCTGCCCGATCAGCTATATGGAGTTGAGCAGAAAGTGGGGAAAATCAGCTTCTCCCTCACTGAGAATACTGTGAAGTGTCTCAGAGTAATGCAGGTGCTTCGTAAGCACTCATTAGTAGGCTCTCTTAATGGAGGCTCTTACAATTTTTGACTAACAAATTCCTTATTAGTTTATTAATTTTTCTAGGTTGTTGACTTGAGAAACACCTATCAATTGCTGTGCAAAGCTGCAGTATAGTATAGTTGACTTGACTGTTTCCGTATATTAAAAAAAAGTGTGTAAAGGGATAGCAGTTTTTTCTGTAAAATACTCTGGGAGATCTTTTTGAGTCAAAGATATGAACATTGCTGCAAAAAATACTAATGAGGTTATTAAATGTTTTTTGAGAAAGGACTGAGATGATGACAGATTTTGCTGGTTTTCCAGTGAAATTATATTTTCATAATACCTCTGTTTTACTTGTTATTTTGTTGTCGTTCTTTAGAAGTTCCCCCCCCCGCCCCCCCCCGATTTCTAGGGAAGATCTGAATTATAAGTGTAATTTTTTCTATGTGAAAATATTTAAATATGGATCCTTTTCTCCTACATAGTCAAGAGAGGAGAGCAGAAAATTAGCTCTTGCAGCTAAAAGGGAGAAAAGAAAGGAAAAGAGGAAGAAGAAGAAAGAGGAACAAAAAAGAAAACAAGAAGAAGATGAAGAAAACAAGCCTAAAGAAACTCTGGAACTACAAGAAGATGATGATGAAGAAGAAAATGATGATGAAGGTAAAGAAACAGGTGTTTCCATGTGGGTGTGCCTTTTTTAACCTTCTAAATAAGGGAATTTGTTTGAAAGCTGGCTTCTCTGGTACTGTGACATTGTTACAAAGCTTCTGCCCTGGTTCTTCCCTCTGCAGTCAGAGTTCCTGGCAGAACTCCTTTGTTCACTTCGCCCCCTCCCGTTTGTTGTCAGAAGTCTTTCACTCTTCGAGGATTTACAGCTGAATGCTGCACAAAACGGTTCGACAGCTTAGCAAGGACCATAACTTCAGCTGTAGTGTCTTCAGTCAGGACACTGATTTCTGTATTTTGTGGATTTTGATTATATATCAACTGTTTTTTCTTGCAGTGGAGCAAGAAGTTCCTATAGAGCCTCCTAGTGCAACTACTACAACAACAATTGGAATTTCTGCAACGTCAACTACTTTCACAAATGCCTTTGGGAAGAAGAGAGCTAATGTGGTGACTACCCCCAGCACAAATAGAAAAAATAAGAAAAATAAAACAAAAGAGACTCCTCAGAATATGCAGATAATTTTGCCAGATCAGCATATATCTCTAGCACAGCAAAAAGCAGATAAAAATAAAATAAATGGAGAGCCAAGAGGTGGTGGTGCAAGTGGGAATAGTGATTCAGATAACTTGGATAGCACAGATTGCAATAGTGAAAGTAGCAGTGGAGGTAAAAGCCAAGAGCTGAACTTCACAATGGATACAAATTCCTCTGAGCGGCGCTATGCCTCATTGCTTATTCCCTCTCAGGAAGAAAAACCAAGCACCTCGGCTTCAAAAACACCAACGAGGTGAGACTGCCGTATTGCTTCCCTGTTGTTTCACAGGGTTTTACCTATGCCAATGTAAATTTTCTGTAGCTCAAGCTTTACACCAGCTGGTACATTCACAAAGTCTTGAGAGACTAAGTTTGTTTTATTTGCATAGCTATTAAATAAGACTGTCAAAGTCGTTGAACATAACATCTTTAAAATGGTAAAGGTAAGTTTTTGTTTTGGGGTGTTTTTTTTTGTTTTGTTTTTGTTTTTTAGCATTGCTGGTAAAAGCAATCCAGGTTGCATTGTCAGCTTTACTAGAATAGATTTTAAAGTGAATATGTTGGGAATTTAAGAAAGAAGGGACAGCTTTGCTCATAATCTATTTACAAAAGTGTTTTCATTTACCTTTTGATTGTTTTATGGTTTCATCATTAACTCATTTGAATTGCAATCTCTTTGTTTTAAGGAGGGAAGAAGTTGATGACTCTGAGCATTTCACCTGCCAGGTTGATGGCCAGTTTGATTTAACCACGTCAAGCCAGAGGTGAGAGTCAGAAGAACTTGGTGAATGTACAGGGGCCATATGAACGGTTTGGAAGATCATTCAGTTGCCAGGGAATGAGCTAATAACTTTTATAACAACAGTTTCTGAATAGGTCATAGGTCTGAATCAAAAAGTTTAGATACCCTTTGAATCTGTAGTCTTTGCTTATTTTTACATATAAGTAGTATGAGTCTGATCCTCCACAGTTTTCTTCTTTCTTTTCTTTTCCTGCATTAAGGGCAGGGAGAGGGTATAGGCATTGATCTACAGGATACCTGGCTGACTGAGAACCCAGCTTCAATAAGAACATGAGCGTTATGGGATCAAAAAGGGCAGCGAGAGGGCTGTTGCCAGACTGAGACACTTGTCTGGGAGTGGGAAGAGAGTTGGGATTTTCTTTTTTCTTTTCTTTTTTTTTCTGTAGATTAAAGTTAAGTGCAGAATGAGTGGATTTGTCAGCCCTTGTGGCTGGGAGTCTGTGTCTTTAGAATGACCCTTAGGAATGTTAGAAATTAGGCTTTGTCATTGTTTGTTTTCTGGACATGAAGTATTTCTGCCTTGGACCATTAGTCCAAGGTTTCCTACAAAAGCCTTGGAATCCTGTGCCGGATCACTACAGCAGGACTAATTAAATGCATGCTTCTAACTCCTTGTAAGAAGCAGTGCTTCTGTGAAATAAAGTACACCTGAAAAACAAGACAGTATATAAATATATCAAAACGGGGCAACTATATTTTATTTACTTCTGCAGGTGCTCTTTGGCTCTTGCACTAGGCAGACTTTGTCTGAAAATTATTTCTATGTTTACTCTTCCTGAATTCCTCTTCTCTTTAGTCATAGACATGCCAATGACAAGGCTACTGTAATTGAAACTTAAACTCAGACTTCATAGTAATGCTTTTCTGAAAATGTAGCTAGACATTTTCAGACAAAGCAGAAAAAAACTTTTGAAATCTGCTCTGCCATGGAATTAATATTCCACAATGAAATTCATTCTTTTCCTTCCATACACATTTTCTTCTTCTCTTTTGCCTCAGTCTTACAGGACAAGTAAAGTTCTCCATAGACCTTTTAAATGCCTTGGGCAGGTGTATTATCAGAGAGCTAGAACTTAATAAAGTGAAGAGAGAAAATGCTGCCATTTTAAAAGGCATATTGTCTAAATGTTGCTTTTCTTATAATCAGTATGCTTTGGTTACTTAAATGTGGATAGGTGTCTGAAGTTTGCATAAAGTGGAGTATAAACAAACAGTTTGCCTGCAAGAAGGCACAATGAATATAAAATGCTGTAAAGAATGGGGAATAAAATGGATAAATAAAAACTTGCTTATAGTAAAGACGAGGAGTGATGCTTAGCAGGATAGCTGAAACATGACATCCTCTGTAAACATTCCAGCTGTGCCATGGATTTGCTGGGTCAAATTACATAAGGCTAGTTTTTCAATGACTTGTGAAGACTGCTGCCTGTGTTTCAGTGCTGCAGATGAACTTGTGAGCTTGTAGTACTGCTTTTTTTCACCTCCACATAGATCAGTTAGCCTTACAAGGGATTGCCTGTTCTCTCTTTCTCTTTTTCACTAACCCAAACTTTGTGTTGTTTGTATCACTAGACTATTGGTATGGCTGTATTAGTACAGGTAGTGATATTTGGGCACCTGCTTCCAATTTGATGTCACTGGTACTTAAATACATAAATGTGCTCAAGTATCTGTGCCTCAGTTACCCGTTGATAAAATTGGGGATGAGGAGTAGAAACACTTTCCAGGGAATCTGTAACAAGAAGAGCTGAAAAGCAGAGATTTTCCAGTACTTAGTAAGAAAGAGACATTATTTTCAGAGTACCTTTTCTTACAAAGCTATTCAAATGAGAACACAGTCTAGACACATAATCAGAATATGCCGAAGTGGCTGTGTACCGGCTGTTATAAATAATTTTAATCTGATGTCCATAGTGCTTCTGGTATTACTTAATTCAGTTTAGCATTCCACTTCTTGGAGGAAGGGTATAGGCTGTGGACTAAAAAGTATAAAACTACTTATGAAGTCACTCAATAGTTGTTCCAGATAGAAAATATGAATGAAAACAGTTCATGCTAGTAGTTTTAAGCTGCCAGAATGTGTACTGTAATGCTGTCATTTTATTCTGTGATTTGTAATCAGCACATTTCTATTCCCAGACTTGACAGTGAAGGACATTCAAATTCTTTGTCGACTACTTACAAGCCTGTTTCCCTGCCTCTCGCCTCTCCAAATGTAAAGCTGAATTTGACTAGTCCTAAAAGAGGCCAGAAAAGAGAAGAAGGCTGGAAAGAAGTGGTTCGAAGGTAGAGACTTTAATTCTATGTTTTTAAACTGTCTGTGAGCTTTTTAGCTTGTAAATTATTATCAAATATAGAATGTGCAGAAAGTTTTAATTATTTAATTGTATAATTAATTTATAAAAAAATCTACCCCTCCTTACTGTTGCAGTGCTGTGAAAACAAATTGGAGTCTTAATTTGTAGTAACTCCTCACTTAAAGTCAGTATGACATGAACTTTCTATTTGGCACAAGGGTTTTCTTTACCTGTGACTTCAATGGAGTAAGGGATGTGGGGATAATATAAAAAGGGGAGGGAGCATATGGCAGTGAAAAGCCCCTACAGCAGATGACTGCTTGCACATGAACTAAAGGCAGGATGGATGTTAGTAGAGGAGAGGTGGATGATCTCGTCAAATTAGTGTACTTTGGATAATGACCTTGATTGCTAATTCCAGGGAAATGTTGTCACCTTAGAGTGAGAGCTAGAGTTGCAACTAGATTTAAAGATTTTCTGTAGAGCAAACATCACCTCTGAAGATGTACTGATTTTTATTATATGACCATTAACACCCCAGTATCTTTTCTGTAACCTTTATGATGTCGTCTGCTTGTAACTAGAAATGATCATCTGGCTTTCCTTTTTTTGTTCACTTTATCGAAAAGGAATACAGCATGAACACACAAGTGTCAGATGCTTAAGGTGCACTTACAGTGCCCTCCTGCTTTTGCGTTCTGCAATAATAGTGATCAGATATGCTCATTTTAGGGAATTTTAGTCTCAGTGCAAAGTATGTAATTGTGTGGAGGACTGAATGCATTCAGATTAGTGGAAGCCACAGATTGTTCTTAATAAAGGTTAAAAAGGCAGTTTAATCTGAAAATGTAAGCATTTGAACCCTTGGAGAGTTGGTTCAGTCTCTGTCTTTTGTTCACAAATGGGGTTCTCCACTGTGACATGGGCTTGCTAAATCTATGGTTGCAGACTGTCCACCACTTGGTGAGTTGTGCAGGCATGAAACCATTAAACAGGCAGCTCACTTTTCCAGGGCTGTGCATAGACCCCACCATTGACCTTGGAGCTGCTCCATCTCTCCCTCCAGGTCTCTTGAGTTTCATAGGCTCAACTCAACTGCTTGGTTGGGTATTGTTTGCTATTCTGCTGGAGAAGGGTTCTAGAGATGGCATCCAAAACCCGGCCTTTCCTCATCCCAGAGGAATCAGGCCTTGTGTCATAAAGAACATGTCCATAAAGTGTCCTGCGCTGGTGTTTGCTGTGCCCTGACTGACTGAAGCATGCATCCTGCCAAAGAGCTATTTGGTGCCTTTAGATGTGTGTGTGAAGTGCCCGGGAGCTGCATGGTTTCCTCTCCTCAAGTCTATCCTGGTCTCAACAAGGATTCTTCTCCTCCCCTCTCCCCATGAGTAACCCCCTGGCTAGAAGGGATGTCTGTCAAAGAAGTAACCAATGAAAACATCTGTTCTGCCCTTGACAGGCAAGTAGGCAGAGTTTTGAAAGATCCTCCCCCCAGCAATACTCTGCAGCCAACACCAATTGAGCAATTTCAGCTGCAGAGAGGAGGGCGCTGCTGTTCGGGAGCAAAAAGGTACTGTTTTGGGCACTTCTCAAGGTAAAAATCGTCAAGCTTGGCGGGTAGGGAGGGAAATGGCAGTGGGTGATAGGTGAGTTCTTCTGGAGGAGGAATGTCTTCATGGGTGGTGGCGCAGGGTTCCTAGTGGGCTGAGGTGGAGCAGAACAAGGTACAGTTAGGAGCCCTGTGAGTAATGTTGGGCATATCTTGAAAGTTGGGTGATGATGGGAGCTCTAGTTTGAGGAGGGAGTGACTGGGGTGTCTAGATTAAGAAAGGAGTCTTGGGGGTGGAGGGGCGAAGAAAGCCCAAAGCATGAAACAGCCTTGGGAGGTGAGCTGGGTGCATGCTCTGAGGACCTGTTTTCTGGGAATGGAGTGGCTTGTAGTGTGCTGTCCTGGCAGGAGAGGAGGAAAGAAAAAACACCCTGGCAGGATGAGGTGATGCTCTAGAACATTTCCATATATTTAGATGTGTTTAAAATAAAATGGCTTTCCTTTAAATCCTATGAAGTGAGAAATAATTTCCTGAGGATGAAGTTACTTAGAAGTTTCCAAGACTAGAATTGCTAGTTGAAGCTGGCAGCCTTTTCAGGGGGTGGAACTGATATGTACAGTGTTCAAAAGCATCTGCACTGTGATCACAGTGGTTTCTGAAACCCCTTTGAATCCCCTCAGATTGCCTTTGAATCTACATCACTGGCAAGCTTGAGAGATCTAGCTTTTAACGTCTGGGGACAGTGGTGACCCAGAGAGACCTTGACTGGCATCTGGATGCAAGCATAGCTCGTGTTCAAAGAATTCCTAGTACTGTATTCCTGCACTGACCCACCAATACCATATGAATTAGATAAATCCTAAATGGACTTATTTTGCCGAACACACGGGTTGTAGTGTTGTGGCCTGACTTGAGCCTGCTTCTGAAAATCTGTGCTGCCTTCACAGTGGCTTCCAGCAGTTCCTTACATCACAGATCTGCACAATTTAGCTGTCTGCCATCCACCATTGTGTGGTGTCACCAATAAACTTTCAGATCTCGAGGTCTGACAGGTGGATACGAGAAGGTTTGTGAATGCAAGTGGTATTACAGAGCTGATCACTGGGAGAACATTGGAAACCCACCTTCTTGATATAAATAAACCCTTGCTATAAACAATCAAAGTAGCTAAGCCATGGGCTTTTATATAGGAAGCATCGTTATTTATGTAAATTTAGGTTGATAAGCTAAGAATTTGTCTCACTGTGAAAGTACACAAGGTAAGATAAAATCCAAAAGTGCTTCCGAAGGAGCATGAGGTACATACCTCTGTGTTGCAAGAGTGGTGGAATAAAAGCTTCTGGAGAATCCTCATGTGGTACTGAGGATGATGAATATTTTGAGTTGGGGAGTTTGAGGGGCTCCAAAGGGTGAAGAAAATACCAGCAGAAAAACGCTTGCTGCCCTGAAACTTAAGAGTATTGCTTCAACCACCTGTCAGACAGCAAGGGATTTTTGTATGCCTTTATGTTTTGAAAACACTTCACAGATTTGTGATCTTTGTCATATAGGTCGAAGAAATTATCTGTCCCAGCTTCTGTCGTATCTAGAATAATGGGAAGAGGCGGGTGCAACATCACAGCAATTCAAGATGTCACTGGTGCCCATATTGACGTTGATAAGCAAAAAGATAAGAACGGAGAGAGAATGATCACTATAAGGTATGGTATCTAGAAATTAAAATCTTGAGTTGGTCCACAATGTCATTTATTAGGATGTTTGATTGCTTTTTAAGATGGGAGATACTTGGCTTCTTGTTACTAGAATAGAACATATATTAGTGCTCCCAAGATGAGCTGAACATCTGCTTCTTCCAAGATAATCAGTAAGATATGCAGAAGTCAAGAAATAACTTATTGGAGTAAACATGCAATAGACTTGCAGATCAGTATAAAATTGAGGCTACAGAATGTTGCACAAAGTGGGGCTTCCTTTTGCAAGTAATAAATATGTTTGTATTTAATGTAGGGGTGGTACAGAGTCAACGCGATACGCAGTGCAACTCATCAATGCCCTTATTCAAGATCCTGCCAAGGAACTGGAAGACTTGATTCCTAAAACTCATATAAGAACACCTGCTTCGAGTACCAAATCAATCCATGCTAACTTTTCATCTGGAGTCAGCACTGCGACCGCTTCCAACAAGAACTCCTTTCCTCTTGGAGCACCGCCCCTCGTTACATCACAGTCATCAACACTATCTACTTTCCAGCCTACTAACAAGTTAAACAAGAATGTCCCAGCTAATGTGCGCTCATCTTTTCCGGTGTCTCTTCCTCTAGCTTATTCTCACCCTCATTTTGCCTTGCTGGCTGCCCAAACTATGCAACAGATCCGGCATCCTCGCTTACCTATGGCCCAGTTTGGAGGAACTTTTTCAGCGTCACCGAACACTTGGGGACCATTCCCAGTGAGACCAGTTAACCCTGGCAGCACAAACAGCTCTCCAAAGCATAATAATTCGATTCGTGTAGGTAGTCAGAATGGAAATATTTTGCAGACTGAGTCTCCTGGATTAGCTACTTCTAGTTGTCCCATTACTGTCTCTTCTGTAGCCGCTTCCACCCAACCGCTGTGTGTAACCAGTAATCGGACTCCCTCTTCGGTCAGAAAGCAGTTGTTTGCCTGCGTTCCCAAGACTAGTACTGCAGCAACAGCAATCTCAACTGTGACAAGCACCTGTAGCACTCTGCCTTCAGCTTCCTCTGCCCCCTCAAACAATGGGCAAGTGCCCACAGCATTTCTGCCATCTAATGCTCCACAAACGCAGCATTCTGCATTTAAAGCGGACTCTTTCTCAGCTGTCTCAGCACCCAAAGAGAAGGTGTCAACACCAGACCAGCCTGCTGCAAATGCGTGCGCACCATCTTCGGTTGCAAGTAGTTGCAGTGTGTCAGCTAGCAGCAACTCAGGAGTTGCTGAAACTCGCCCATCAAGCAGCCCTGCACCGCTGAATAATGTCCAAGATGAAATACTGCCAACCAGCATATCGGAGATCAGTCCTTCCATGTCGATGCCTTTTTCATCCAGCTCAGAAACTGCTCCTTTAAGCTTAGCATCACCCAGGTCAGTTGTTGCAGATAATCAGGACAACAGTAACTTACCTCAAGTAGCTGTACCAGCACCTCGAGTTACTCACAGGATGCAATCCAGAGGTTCTTTCTATTCAGTGGTACCAAATGCAAACCTCCATCAAGATCCTCAGTCTATTTTTGTTACGAACCAAGTTCCTTTAACACCTTCTCAAGGTCCACCTGCTGCAGTGCAGCTTTCATCAGCCATGAACGTTATGAACGGTTCTCAGATGCACATTAACCCAGCGAACAAATCATTGCCTCCTACCTTTGGGCCAGCAACACTCTTCAATCACTTTAGTAGTCTTTTTGATAGCAACCAGGTGCCAGCTAACCAAGGATGGGGAGACTGTCCACTCTCTACCCGAGCAGCAGCTGACCCATCTTTCACTGTTCAGTCTACCTTTCTGAATAACTCTGTGCTAGGACATGTGGAAAACGTGCATCCTGACAACTCCAAGGCTCCTGGTTTCAGGCCACCTTCCCAACGGGTTTCGACTAGTCCTGTAGGTAAGTCATTAAGATCATGCACTGGACAGAATTCTTTCTCCAACCGTTACACTTTGATCATCTCAAACTGACTGAGAAGTAGTTTACAAATGACAGTTAGAGAATACTAATGTAATGAGGATGGCCTGTTTTTTTCCAAGTGTTCTTTAAAATGGTGATAATGATTTCCTTCCACCCCCTCCCCCCTTCTTCAGCTTTGTACAATGTTAGGTGTTGGGACCATTGCAGACATTGCATTGCTTATCCTCTGTAAGACACAGGAATGCTTCCACCTGTTTCTGGAGTTCAGAGTAGCACTGATTTTAGCTTTTGGGTTGGAGTGGAAAATAGGTTCAGGTGATACCAAACCTGAAACAGCGGAGCAGGACTCCTGACAGGTTCCAGCTGAAGGAGTGACTGCATGTAGTTATTCAGTATTTTATCTGAGACTCCAGCTTGACTCACTGAGGGTAAATTGTCTGTACTCTTTGGCTCTGGATGTAGCTCTGGGATTTTAATAAGCTTATGTTGTGCTTTGGGAAATTGGTGTCCTACTGCATGGTGTGTTTTATTAAGAAGTTACTGTTTTTCTGCTGTTAAGTATAGCAGTTCAAACTTATCTGCATTTATTTGAAATGAGTTAGGAATACTCAGTGAGCTCCCTGACCTTGGTGGGCTCTGCCTAAAGGATTAGTATCATCTTAGTGCTCAAACTATGTTACAGGCAACTGGCTGCACCCATTTGGCTAGAAGGGACCCTCAGGAGATCTAGTCTGTTGCCACCCTGTTCTCCCATTCATTCTTGCCACAATGGCTCTATGGTGCCTTGAAGCTGGGTAGCTAGAGAGCCTTGCTTTGAAGTTGTCTTTACCCCCACAGTGTGTGTTAGATATTTGTACTAACACTTCAGAATTTGAATGCTCGACTGGGACAAGTCAAGTAGGTTGACTTTCAGACTAAAGGAGAAGGGGGCATTCGGAAGACGTGATGGTGAGGAAAGATGATTTTCAGCATTCCCATTCCTCTCCGTTGATTTACAAACGTGCAGGACTTCTGAAAACCAAAACACTTCTCTCTGATTACCTTTAACCACAAAAATGGGATGTTTGCTATGACTGTAGTTTTCTGAATAGTTTAATTTGAGCTGTATAGCTCAGCAAAGTAAGTAAGTACTTAGAGCTCTTGTGCCACGCCCAGTCGCAGTGCAGTAAGCAAAACCAGATGTAACTAAAGCTGTGGAAGGTAAAGTAACTGGACCTTGCTGGTCACATAGGCTGCTAATAAAAGAATTGTCAGACCCTCGTCAGCAGACTCCAGAAACACTTCGTGTTGGCTTAGCTTTTTCTCTCTAGTGCTCTAAACTAGTAGTTGGCTGTTGCTGGAATAACCCCTGGGGAAGGAGGCTTATGGCAAGTGGGATCTGCTGATTTTTCTGATGATTGCATCCTGTGTATACAAAGACAGCTGACAGGAACTTCACATAGCAGCAAAAAATTTTGCTGTTCCCTCCTGCTATGGTCATCTGTTTGCCTTTGGGAAAAAATTCTTAGTCCTTTATATATCCTTCGATGACTGTGTGTATTTAAAAGGTAGTCTAAATCTGTTTCTTTGCTGAGTTAGGAAAATTAGGTAGATTCCTAAGGAGACCTCACACAGCTGACTTTCAGGAGATAAGTGTGAACTGAACACACTTCTGAGCTGGAATTTGATTAGGACATTGCAAAGTGAAAAAAAACTGCAAATAGGTAGATGTGCTGCTGAAATTCTGCTTGGCAGGAGGTAACTGGTTAGTCAGGTCCTTAGCTGATTCATTTAATGTCTTCTACTTAATACTGCTTTTGATCACCTTTGTTTTGGAATCTAACTTGTCTGTCACACAGGAGGGGGTGGGGGAGAGGGGAGCTTGGGGAGAAGGGGGTTTTTTGAAGATGGGGTAGTGAGGAAAGGAGTGGGGATGGTAGGCTGAGGACCTGTCTGCCTTCCCTTGGAATGTAAGCGTTGTCCTGTGGTCTGTCCACCCATCTCATTCACTGGCTTTTTCCCAAGAGAACAGACCTTTTTGCTCAGCCTCTGACGTGGATTGAACTGGGGACTACCTTGCCTGTTTCCTCAAGCTTCAGTGGCAGGTTTCATGAGATTTTGAGAAGGGGGGGAAAGGGCCAGTCACTGCTGGCTTACCCTTTGGCCAACAGCAGTGCGATGAACAAGGAGCAGTCTGGGCCTTGCCTGGCAATTCAGTACGCTTTTCTGTGATGAGATGGCCATAGTAATGGCCATCAAAGCAGGTGGACACCAATCCTTGAATCTTGACTATGACTCTACACCTCACAGAGAAGAGGTTGGTCTTTTGTGCCTGTTTTGCACAATTGGGCTGTGGCAATTTTTTCACAAATCAACATCTGTTGGTGATCAACTCTAAACTGATTTGGTGGAGATTTAATGTAACTTGTTTGTGCACTAAACCAGCTTTTTCTCAACAAGTTGTCACCTCAGGGTGGTGTTTGGGTACTCTGCTTTTCCTATGTATGGGTAAGCTGAGTTGCAGCTTGTGTTTTCTCTGACTCACCGGTTCATTTGAGGCACAGATACATGTGCAGATCTCCTCACTGACTGTGGATCTGTTCTGGAAATGGCCTTTTGTCTCACATCTTTAGATCTTTTGTCCTAGCAGCTTGCAGATTGAGGGCAGACTTAGCCCAGCCATTTGGGAAAGCTGTGGAGAAGACCAGAAGTCGTCTATTTGTTACTTCTTTCCTCTGAATTTTAAGAAGGGGTTTGAGACCTTGCTCACGTGGCATTAAAAGGTACCACAAACTTGAAATATGCCAGCTTAGGAAGAAGCACATGACTGAATCTACATGAAATGTAGATTTGGGCTACCTGTTTTACGTGGAGTGACCAAGCATTGTTGCTGTTTCTCTAAAGGTGGAGGTAGCCCTTGCAATAACCAGTTTCTGCAGAAGTGCTTGGGGGCTTTGATAAACTGGATTTTGAGCAGAGTTTGTGTGAGATTGATACACCAGTCTCGAAAGCTCAATTACACTTTCAGAACATGACGAAGAGTTTGAATTTATGGCCCAAGTAACTGCAGAGTATGGTATTGCAAAAGGTTTTAGTATTACAAAACCTAATTTTGTTGGTAAGTACATAAACTAGGAAGCTCATTACTGAAATCAGGGTTCTCTAAGTCCTTGTTCATAGAAGCCATTTTTAATATTGATCAAAGTTGGGGTTTTTTTAATCCACTTCTATAAAAGGCAAGATGACAAAAAGTGTTCTTTAGGACCTGAAAACTGACTACTCTGAATTTGTGCATCTCTGGCTGTCACACTTCAACCTATAGAAAATACACAGCAGTGTTAAAATGGTCTTGGCTGTACAGTCATTGCACTTTGAAAGCTGTGTACCCATCCTACCAAGCCTTCAAACAGTACAGCTAGGCATCTTGTTTCTGCAGAAGAGATATTTTTGTCACAATCTCTGCCTCGTTCTCTGTTTAGGAAACCAGCAGTCCCTATGGGCAGCAGCAGCTCTGTTACCCCTGCTGCGTGGGGCAGAGGCTTGGGATCTTCGGTGATTTGTCAGCCAGCTGGAAACTTGTTTTTGATATGTGGTCACCATGGTGGCCTTTTGACTACCTCTGAGTTGACTTTTGTGGATGGAGGTTTAGCAAGAGTGTCCCCTCCGTGCACAGACATTAGCATCCTCCTCATAGCCATGGAGTCTTGCACTTCGTGCTGTGACAAACCCTGAAAGCTTGTCCTCCCACACTCAGGTTCCCTCATCTGAGCTCCCCATGTTCTGGTGGTAGGGGTGATTTATTTCTCCTTGTCTGTAATGGAGAATACTCTTTTTTAACCTTTCGGATAGGGCTAGTGAGAAAAATCTCCTTCAAATCCAGTGAGTCATTTCTGTCAATGTGAGCAGGTTGGATCTGGTACTTCTGGAAGCAGTAAATCAGGTTGTTTTGATTGATAATATTGGGGAGAGAAGACCTGGCCTTCAGGAAAATATCCAGGCAATGAAAGGTGTACCTCTAGTCTATGACCTGAAGTATTACCCATCACCACTGCTGTTGGCAGACTGCTGTGGTGTAAGTAGGTACAACCTTCAACCTTGCTCTGTAGCAATATCGGCTGGTCCTGGTTGTGGTCATTTTGAAATGTTTAAATGGTTTTGAAACTAGTCTTGTGTAATAGGCCCTTGAAACTAAACCCAAAACTCAGGTGAACATATGGCCATGCCTGTTTCTGCTTTCAGGTAATAATGTGTGATTAGAGCTTTTACAACATTTTGGAAAAGTACTTAAAAGCTTTGGCTTATTAAAAAAACCTGTAATTCCCCCTTGCTAATAATTTTTGTGGGACTTTGAACTTTCCCTCCATCTCTCCCTTCCTCTCATGCATCCCTGTAGAAAGCAGCTCTCTCACCTGTTGTGCTGTGCATAGTCAGCCCTGTTTCTCTGGACACAGCATGCTCTGATCGATCTGTATGTGAATGTACCTATAGGATGGCAAAAACCATACTGCAACAAACTGCTTCCCTGGTGCCGGATTCCTCTGGGACTTTCACAGAGCCCTGGTATCCCTGTTTGACTTGCGTGGCTTTTTTGTAAGCAAAGATCCTTGCCACTCCCAGCTTTGTTCCTTTGCCCTCCCTGCTAAGATAATTCCCTTTCTAGTGACTAAAGGGATGGCTGTTTTTGTTAAAACTTCAAGCCAAAACAGAGAGCGTACATAAATGCCTCCTGTCGGTTTCAAAGGGAGAATCGTGCACTTATAAAATGAATTTACCATGTGCAGATACCCCCGAAGGTGATGAGATGCTTTAATTATATTTGGAGCACTAGCTCTCTCTGGTGCTTTGAAGCAGGTTCCCAAAGAGAGATATTTAATCAAATTTATGTTTATTTCAGGCTTACCCTCTCTAGATCCATCCAACAGCTCTACAACTTCTTCTTCAGGTCCTTTGACAGGCTTTTCAGCAAACATACAAGGAGCACGGGTTTACCTTCAAGGGCCAGCGCCTGTTGGGACTCCCAGCTTTAACAGACAGCATTTTTCACCACATCCTTGGACAAGCGCAACAAATTCATGTAGGAACTTCATGGGTCTGTCTTAGTTAACTATAAATTCGTAGCTATTGTCTTTAGTAGATTTGTAACTTGAGGGGAAATTACCCAGTGATGCACAAAATGCTTTCCAATTGCTGTTAGCACCTGCGAGGATGGCGTGCAAATCCCAAGCTGTACTATTTTGTGTTTTTTCCCATGTACAATGCCACTACTTCTGGTAGCATTACTAAAGGCATATTTGGGGAAAAAACCCCAGTCATTGTAGGCTCTGAGAGGAGAGAGCATGAAGCTGTGGGGGAGCGGACGCAATTATACCAAGCTAAATACTCCCCTCTAAACAGCGTGAGTGTAATATTAGGTGAAAATGTCATGTGTGTCATGGTTTGAAGCTATAGTTGCCTTTTTTTTTGTGTTTATGTTTTTAAAGTTTTGTTGCCTTTTTTTTTTTTTTTTTTTTTTTTTTTCAAATTGGGATTCTGGAATGATTTCATGTTACTTAAAATGTTCCAAAATCTTTAAGCATCATCCAAGGTAACAGTGGGTTTTTCTTTTAATGGGAAGAACATGGAAGTAGCTTTACAAAAAATATGGGTCTTTGATTCAGAATCTGAAGTCAAGATGCTTTTCATGTCACTGCATGCAGCTTCATTGCCACTCTGAGCTTAAGAACCAAAATATTTAAATGAGTGCTCAAGGATTTTCCAACAAGAGCCAGTGATGCTTCTGAAGTTGGTGGATCTTATGCTCTGATGTTACACATGTGGCTTTGGGACTCAGTCTAATTTCTCTTCTGCTGGAAGTGGTGGATACCAAAATCAGGCTGTTTAGATATTTATGGTATTTTGGCTGATATTTTCACCTCTTCCTGAAACTCTTCCATGTTTCTTATTCTTTCTTTTAATTTAGATGTACTGCTATGTCATGAGAATATCACGTGATTCTGATGGCTGAAAGCATTTGTGTTATAATGTTGATTTTAGAGTTAAAATAAACTCTAAACAGGATCTTTGTGAAAGCCTTAATGCTTGCCAAAAAAGCCTTTAAAACCTTTTTGTCATTTGCTTGGAGATAATATTGGGGGGATAGAATGGGTAGCATTTATGCCTTCTAGCTTGTGTGCTTTGTGGGTAATTAAGCAAGAGCAATATTCTTTTCAGCAGGTGAATCTCCTATTCCATCAGTTTCCTCAGGATCATCTTCCCCCCTTTCAGCTGCTTCTGCGCCTTCTAACTTGGGCCAGCCAAAAACGGGTAACGCGAATCAAGATCGAAAGGTACCCCCTCCCATTGGGACAGAAAGGCTTGCTAGAATTCGACAGGGAGGATCTGTCACTCCTACACCCTTAGGAACCAACTTCACAGCTCCAGTTGGTCATAGCGGTATTTGGTCCTTTGGAGTTAACAGTGTATCTGGTAAGTCTGTTTTACAGCCTAAGGTAGCAGAAACAAACTTCTAGGGCCTTTCAGAAGTACTACGTTTGAAAAGAAAGTTGGGGAGGAGGAATAAAGTTCCACAGTCTGTAATCAACTTCCATGTAGTTTGTCATGAAGGGAAAACTGATGTCAGTGGCGGGAGAGTGGGTATCAATGAAAGCACTGTGGTTTTCTCTCCTAATGTAGGTGGTTCTCACCCAACCTAGGTTATCTGTCAGTGTACACTTGTAAACCCTGAGAACAGTTCCGAAATTTCATATTAAGTCTACTGAATGATACAGAATTTAAAAAGTAAACAACTTTTTTCTAAGGGGGTGCATTTCCAAGTCTGACCTCTGGCCTAAAACGACAGCTGCCCACCATCCAAGTTTCTAGCTTGCTTTCCATTAACATTTTAAAGTATTAGTTATGGTACAACTAATGCATCCAGAAAGACGTAGTTGTGGATGACGATTTTTGCGTTGATCTCCTCATGACTCTTGAATAGTATGGGGTAATTTTTGTTCCAGGCAGTCCCAGTTTCAAAACAATGACTTTGAAACAGCTGAAGTTTTACACTGAGTTTCCTGTTAGTTTTGATGTTCTTGTGGAAAGGAGGAGCTGCAGCGTTTGAGGTGTAAAGCGTTTCCATTGGTAATTTTAAAGACAAATCTTTAATAGTCCTGCATTTGTTATATTTTTCAATGAAGCCCTCCATACTTTGGTTAACTTGGTGTTTCAGCATTGCTGTAATTTTTTTCAAGGAAAGCTTATATGTTCTCACAGACAATGCTTGGAGGTTTATTGGATCTTAGGTGTTCTGCTATGGACACCTGAAACTTGGAATTACTAGTAGTCCTCATCTCCGCACTTGTCTGGAGGATGAAGAAGAATGTACGTGTAGACAGCGTGTGCCTGGCCAAACTTCCCTGGCCTCACCAGTCTCTCATCTTTCACTGTTTTTGCCGCTGTCATAAGTGTAACATTTTTCTGCATTCCTGTGGTACATGAGAGAATGTGCGACCTGCAGGGAAAGAAAGTGCGTGTGCACGTAACCAGCCTTATATAGTGTTGCCTGCTGCAGCTTCCCTGTGAGAGGCCTTGATGCTACAAATAAGAGTTGTGTGTTTGCATTGTCTGTAATGGGTTATTAGCCTAAAAACTGCAGATATCTTCCTGCTTTGCATAGGATATGGAAGGTCTGTCCTTGATCAGAGCAGAGCCCTAAGATACGTCTGTGGGTGTGTGTGGCTGCTGAATTCTACTCCAGGGTATCTTCAGTGAATTGTAATCAGCCATTTTCAATCTCCTCCTTTCCAGAAGGCTTGTCAGGTTGGTCTCAGCCTGTCATGGGAAATCATCCGATGCATCAGCAGCTGTCAGACCCAGGCACATTTTCTCAGCATCAGCCAATGGAGAGAGATGATTCTGGAATAGTGGCTCCCTCAAATATTTTCCACCAACCTATGCCAAATAGTTTTGTGGATTTTTCTAAAGTAAGTTATAGAGGGTTGGATTTAGTCTGTAAAATGACCAAGGACTTTGTTGTATCTCCTGTTCTGCCTGTTTACACTGTTTGTGTGTGCCTCTTCTACCATTGCTTCTTGCATGTAGTCCTGAACCTCCTTTCATCCCAGTACTGACTAGAAAAGGTGCCCAAGCCTAGTGGCGCATTCAGACAAAAACAGAATTTGTAAATTGCGCATGTTCTGTTATCTAGTAGCTGAATGCCTCCATTGCTCTCCAGTGTTTCCTTTCTCAGAGGCCCAGTCGCTCGGAAACGTTTCATAAGGCTTGCTCAGCTCTTGAGGCTGATTAAAGGTTTGCTTAATGCTTTCAGTACAAATCATGCCTGTGAATACTACAGGCCTTGCTTAAGGAAGCGGCAGGATGAGAGGATCCCTTGTAAATCTGTGCCTTGTATGTTAACGCTAGAAGGTAGCTTGAGGCAGACAGATGTAGCCAAGCCATAGTCAGCTCAGCTACCACTGGAGGAATGTCCAGGATGATGTCCTCAACAGCAGACCTGCTCACAGCATGTTTCAGAGTAGCTGTAGCATGTACTCTTCTAAATTGCAGAGCAGCAATCATTCAAACATGGGAAAGAAATGTCAGAATTGCGAAAAGCTGCTCTGTAACTTGGTCTTTCTGAACTGGAAGACTATTTTAGATGGCCATTAGAAATTTATAGAAAATCTTCAACTCAGAGTCTTGTAGGCTGAAGCTGTATACGGGCTTTGCTGAAGTACAGCCCCTGGCTGCAGCCCTGCATGCACAAAGGTTACTGCATGCTGCAAAGGTGAGAGAAGGGAGCACTGAGATCACCTTGTACAGCTGCTGTGTCTGGATTTATGGGGTCATCTGAAAGTGCTGTACAGAGGCTGCTGCATACTGGTGAGGTGTAATTTCAAAGAAATGAGTAAACTTACTTGAATCTCAAGCTCTGAAGGGTCGCTGTATTCCATACTCTGCTTAGGTGTGCAGCGATGACCCGTTTCCTCACAGTGCTATTCGCCAGTAGGTAAACGTTACGTATGGATGTGAACTGCCTCTGTCATCTTGCCAAACATGGTACTAAGGTCATCCTTCGCAACCACTGCCTTCTTCACCAACAGTGCTTTCTCTTGTTCCCTCAGGGCCTACCAATTTCCATGTATGGTGGCACTCTGATACCCTCGCACCCTCAGCTAGCAGATGGCCCGGGAGGCCCCCTCTTTAACGGGCTCCATTCTCCAGATCCCGCCTGGAATCCCATGATCAAAGTTGTTCAGAACTCAGCTGAATGTACTGATGCTCAGCAGGTAGTGTGGCTCACTTTTACAACTTTGCTTACCTGGGGCTTTTTACAGTGTTGTGCTTTGTTTTGTTTTTCTTCATTTTCGGGTATGTGACTTTTTTTCCAGTTCGTTGATACTAGAATTGAGATCGTTTGCATGACTTTTCCCCTACAGTGTGTGTGTGTGTGTGTGTGTGTGTTTATAAAAAATATATGGCGCTATCCATACCAAACCTTTCAGGTAAAATAAGCAGCATTTCACGACTGCTCAGGAAGGTAAATGACTTATAAGTGAGAGGGTTTATATCCTCATTCGGCATCTTGCAGGTTGTCAGTCACACCTTGGCCAGATCTGAAGACGCTCCCAGCCTTTGCACAGTCTGGTTGTATTTTAGGGGGAAGCCTTAAGTTTGCCCTCTAGTGGTTAAACGCTCTGTTAAAGGAACCTTTATTTGTTTTCGTAATAGACTTGTCTTTTTATTTCTTGCTGTAGATTTGGCCTGGCACCTGGGCACCTCACATTGGAAACATGCATCTCAAGTACGTCAACTGATTTAAGGGGGGGTCTATCCATTTTTAGCCTTGTTCGGGAATCTTTATGATCTTGAAGAACCCTGGGGATTTTTTAAATGTGCCTAACTAAGCAATTTTCTGTGGGCTGTAAGAATGGAAAATTGATTGCCCATTGTAAAAGAACAAATTGATTTACTTACACAAAGTGATTCTGTTCTCCAGTTAGTTTAGCCATTTTGAACTTAAAAATCAGACTAAGCTAGTGCTTTTGGCCAAACACTACTAAATGCTCCTTGTATGCAGCAGAGAACTAGTTGATTACATGATTTCAACCTTTTAGGGTGGTAAACACATGTATAATTGTTTACATAAAAGGAAAAGCTGAGTAAATTTCATGTCGTATAGTGGCTCTACTTTATGTAGCCTGTATTAATGTGAAATATTTACCTGAATATTCAATAAAAGGCGAACAGTATTTATAGGTTGTGTGTGAGAATTTTGGAAGAGGCTGTATGTTGTTGTCATTGGTAGCTGCTGCCGTGCCCAGTGATGCATCTTGTTAAGGTCACGTAATGAGCACGTGGATGCAGTCAGGGTTTGGGGGAGGGTTTTGATCCGCAGTTGTCTGCAATACGAGGTCTGCCGAGTCCTTCCTCCAGCCAGTTGTTAGCATTTTTTTTTGTTTTTCTTGCATGTGAGCACAGTTGTGCATTTTTTTTTTTCTTCTGGATTAGTTCTGCTGCTTCTAGCACACTATTTCCAGGTGGGTTGCCTTGACAGATCAGGTTTTGTTCAGGGGCTGAGTTGAGAATGTGGCAACTGATGGCATCTTAATTTGCAGAAGGTACATAGGTAGCTCGTAGGTAAGTGCAGGGTTTCCTCACCTGACTCGCTGCGACCAGCTGCCTAGAAGCAGATCTTAGGAAAGCAGAGACCACTTCCCACTAGAGAAACATGATATATTCAATTCTAAGCTTCTTGTAACCCTTTAAATCTGGTAAGAGCTCCTCAAGTCCTTTCCATGAGGAAGAAGGGGATTTTTGCATACTGCTGGAGATGTTTATTCTCTGCCCAGGTGCAGAAGTTCTCCACTTTTTGCACTTGGACTATGCTTGTTTCTACTTTTGCTCAGTGGCGATGTAGTAACTGCACTGAACTTTTGATCCATTACTCAAGCAGGTAACTACAGTGCACGTGGTGTCCAAGCTAATCGACCACTTTTGGTGGTTTCTTGGACCAGGTAGAGACTTCTCTACCTTCCTCCACCTGCTCCAGACAAATTCTTTCATGCAGCAGCAGAGTGTCCGCAGGAAAAGCTTGAGGAAGGAGTACTGAAAACCCAAACTGCACAAGCAATATCAGAGTACTGCAGGCAAACCTCAGAAACACTACTGGATGATATATTCAGATATTTTTTCCTAGTATTTGAGGAAGAAATGCAAAAAACATGGAACTGCTGCTACCCCACTGATAGTGCAAATGCCAAAGGAGAAACACTCCTGTTAACAGTAATTGTGTTGAAAGCAAGTGGTGTTGCAGTGCAAATAGGCTTTTGCTCTTGGGATGAGTTGCAGGGCAGGAGAGGAGCCTACTGCCCTGCCACCCCACCACCACATGGCCTCCATGGGTGCGACAGGCACAGCCACCCTCTCCTGCCCCATCCCAGGGAGCCACCATCGCCCTGTCCCAGAGGGCTACAGCTCCATGTTGGGTGGCACCATCTATTCCACCACACCGGGGGGTAAGACCTGGGGATGGATGGGGTTGTCCCTTGAAAGGAACGGTGGCTTCAGCCACCCCATCCCTCCCTGATTTAGGCAGCTCCTTCCTAAGCAAATCCCTTGCTGGGCTCTGCATCTCACAGCTTGGTCTCTCAGAGTATGGGCACCTGCTCTGGGCACCAGATCCATGCAGGCCCATGGGGTGGTTGCTTCCCTGACAGCCCAGAGCTGGAGTGGAAGAGGGAACCCCAAAGCTTTGTAGGAAGATACTGGTAGAGGTTAGGGCCATCGTTGCCCCATGGTACCAGGGGGAGCAGGCAGCGGCAGTGCCTGGCGCTTGCGCTGCCAGGGACCTGCCTGCTGGCAGTGCCACGGGGTCACTCTGGGGTAGCTCATGCCTGGGCATGGCTGGCTGGAGCTAGGGGACACGCAGGGGGCTAGCTCAATAAGTCTGCTCCCACCCGAGTCCACCAGCCCTGCAGTAAGGTACTGGGCAGCACAGCTACCCTAGGCCTGCCCTCTTGCCCCTCTTCCAACCCCATCAAAGCTCCCGGTTCAGCTGTCAAGCAGGTCCTTTTCTTTGATGTCTGTCCTTGGGGTAGCATGTGCCCCATCCCTGAGCTGGGCATGTTTCAGTTGAGCAGCAGGCACCCACCCTGTGGGTGCTGGCTCCATTGTGTACACCCGATAAGCTTATCTGGGGCTGGGGAGCCAGGCCTGGGGCTAAAGGGGCTGCTGCAGGTTGTGTAACTTGTTTGTGGTGCCAGGAAGGACCTGGCCCGTGCAGGAGCTCCGAGCTTGCCACTGCGCCCGCTGCCAGAGCCTGGCAGGGAACCCGTGCTCGGCTGCAGGCACAGCTGGGCTGGGAGAGGCAGGCCTGGACCTGGCACAGGGCAGCAGACATGGCACGCATGCTGGCGCGACCTTGGGGATGGCTGGCAGGCGTTTGGTGTGCAGGGCAAGGCAGCGCCTGCCACGGGTGGGCACTGCCCTGGGGCTGTACACCCCGCAGGCTGGTGCACTGGAGGAGGTGTCCCATCAAACCCAGCACATTGCCCTCATGCAGGGCACAGCAGGGTGGGTCACTGGTGGAGCCAAAGGGAGTGGGTCCCTGGGTACAGCTGCCCATGGTGCCAGTTGGAGGGGCACCCAGCTGTTGCTGTTTGATAGGTGCAGGGAGCCACCCCTGAACCAGCCACTGCTGGGGACCTGCGTGCTGCCTGGCCGTTGGGATTGGGCTGTGTGCCGAGAGCCCCAGGGCTGGCCCTGCCTTCCAGGCAGCGCAGGGGTGGCTGTGGTGTTAGCTACCACGGGGTACCTGCGTCGAGGCTGAACTCCCCGATGCTGTGCTGTGGCAGAGCTCCAGGAGCTTCAAGGGGAGGAACAATGTGAGGAAGAGCTGCTGGGCAGGACGGGTGTCATAGTCTGCCATGTGGGAAGCCCCACAATGGATCCAGAGCCAGCCGTGCCCTGGAGCAGTGGCCAAGTGCTGGGTCCCACCCCCTGCTCTGGGCTCAGGCTGTGGTGCTCGGAGATGGGGGGCAGCCAGGGGCTGGCAGTGCCTGACAGCCCCCTGCTTTTGGCAGGTACCCGCATCATCTACGACCGCAAGTTCCTGCTGGAGTGCAAGAATTCACCCGTGGCCAGGACCCCTCCCTGCTGCCTGCCCCAGACCCCCGGTGTCACATCCCTGGCCCCGTCCAGCCTCGTCAAGCTGGAGGAGCTCAAGGAGCGGAATGAGAGCGAAGAAGCCATGTCAGGTGAGCAGCCCAGGCACACAGCCCCTGCCTACACGCTGCATGGGGCATGGGCCTCCCACCTGGCCGCAGGGGCAAGGGAAGATCCTGGCTCAGCTCCAGTTCTGCCTCCTGTCCCCCTTGCCTGCATGTTTCTCCCAAGGCAGCCCCATCCTAACCCTAGCCCTGTATCCCTCCGTACACTTGCAGATCAAGACCAGTTTGAGATGGACATCTGAGTTTCCAGCTCCCTGTCTCCAGGCCATGGCAGGGCCTGTTCCTGGGCCTCATGGAGGTGCTGGCACCATGACCAGCTGGCTGCAGCCCTCTCTCATGCTGGGGATGGACGTGTGACACCTCAGGCTCTAGCACAACTGTCTGGTGCAATTGCCTAGGACCTTATGCTTGATCAATAAACACCATGAAACCCCTGTGCTGACGTGGTCCATCTCTATGTTCGGGCTCAGCTGGGTCCCCAGAGCCCCGGGGAGGGGAGCTAAGAGACAGCAAACAGCATCAGGAGCTCTTTGAGGGTGCAGGGAATCTCTCCCTCCTGCACCTAGACCCTGCAGGCTGGGGGTGGAGAATGCAGGACCTCAGGATCTGCTCCCAGACTTGGGCAGGGGCAGCTGGTGAGGCCTTCCTGCAGGCGCGGGAGCGAACAGCACAGTGCAGTCTGCTTGCTGTCCAGGGTAAACGTTAAGACCCTGGGCTTACCTGACCTGGTGGGAATCACTAGCACAGTGATGTTTCTCCCTTGTTCCTGAGGCCACCCAGGTCTCTTTGGTCCCAGACTTGAGTCTGAGCTCTGACAAGATGGGCAAGAGCACAGATGGGAGCACAGGCTGTAGCTGCAGCACAAACCCTGGCCCTGCCAGGCTGCTCTGGGCTGGCAGCATATCAGCCTCCCCCACCAGCCAAGAACTCCTCAGGGTTGTCTCCTCCTGCAGAAGAGCTGGGCCATGTGCCTGATGCTGTAGGCCACAGGCAAGGCCAGAGGGGGCCCCGGTGCAGCAGGGAAATGCGTGGCTGCCCATGCAACCTGGGTGATGCTGGGGGTGTTGCCAGGGTCATTCCTTCTCTTCATGTCTTGTGGGCTGGGAACATCCTGCTAGAGCCCCTTGACCAAGCCTGAAGGTGCTGTGGCCTTGCCCAGCAGTCCTGTCTCCTGCTGCTCACCAGAGAGATCCAGGACCCATCCAGTGCCAGAACCCCAGGGCAGGCTGCGGCCAGGGGCAGGTTAGTGCTGTTTATTAAACATCATGTAGTGAATTGCCACTAAAATGTCATAATGATTAAAATCCCATTTTCCTGGACGAGGACTGGGAGGTGGAGGAGGTGCCCAGACTCCTTTGGGCAGTGGGGTCCTTCTCCTGCTCACAGTCCACAGCGCTGGCCCTGGCATCAGGGATCCTCCTAGGCAGGCCCAGCCTCGGCGCTGCCATCCGTTGCTGCGGCCGGCTTCAGAGCAGGCAGGCTCCTCATCTCGGCAATCAGGCGCTTGACTCCCACCAGCCACTGGCTCACCTCATTCACATGGTCCACCATGAGCGAGCGGTGGATCTCTTCAGCTGCATCCCACTGCTGCTGCTGGAGCTCTGCAAGAAAAAGTGAACCCATCAGTGGCATCAGGTCACCCTTCCCCTGGTGCCCCCTGCCCAACAGCCTGGCGCTGGCCCAGCTGCAGCCCCCTTGCCCCTTCACCTCGCACCAGCAGGCTCATCCTCTTCCTCACCGGTGTCGACAGCTTCCCCTGAGCCAGGTCACCCTTCCCCTGGTGCCCCCTGCCCAACAGCCTGGCGCTGGCCCAGCTGCAGCCCCCTTGCCCCTTCACCTCGCACCAGCAGGCTCATCCTCTTCCTCACCGGTGTCGACAGCTTCCCCTGAGCCCACGCATCCCCCAGCACCACCAGCCGCCGCCCGATGTCGTCGCACACTTGTTTCTGGCAGCGGAGATGAGCGGCAGCTCTGGGAAGCCCCCGGGGCAGGGCTGGCTCTCCTTGCCCCCCGGGCTGCTGCCCCTG